ATAATATTATTATGCTTGTTTGTTTTGGGTGTTTGCAGTTATGTATTGTTTATATACTATGTTTTTTTCAGTTTGTTACACTTGCTTTTACTTTTATAAAAATAATAATAAAATTTATTACATTTTGTATAAAGTAGTAACTTATTTTTAACAAAGCTAATGTAATTGATTTAATTGTTTAAAATCATTTCAGATTTTTTGTTTGCTTATTTGAAAAAATATATTATTTATTTTGTAATTTTGGTTTTATTTTAACAGTACATAAAATTATTTTACAAAATTATAAATTAAAATGTTGCATAAATTGCTCTTAAAACGTTTAGCTTCAACGTTAATTCTTTACATTTTTTAAAGTATAAAATTAATAGAAAATTAAATTTTTGTTAAAAGATTTACTTTAATTTTGAAATTAAATAAAGTTTATTAGTGAAAAATTAATAAGGAATTTTTTTTTGTATTAATAAAATAGTTTATTGAACTCATTATATTTATTGAAATTTTAAAAATAAATTTTTTTCGTTATTTTGTTTGGCTTTTATCTTTATTATTTTATAATATTGTTTAAAAATTTAAAACAAATACATTATTTTTTTTTCATTTATTAAATATAATTATATAGTTTTTAATTATTGTAAATGAGGTTAAGTAAATATTGTTATTCTGTTATAATTTGTAACAAAGATATTATGTAAATAGTTTAAAAGTAATTTGCATTATTTTTTAGATTATTTCTTAATTAATTACGGGGTGGCTTTTCTTTACTTTTTTTTATGTATTTTATAATAAAAAAATATTTTGAAAAATATATTTAATACAAATCTTGTTTAAAAACTGGACTATATTTTATGTTCTTAAATAAATAAATTTTTTTAAATCATTTTCTTTATTTAAGAAATTAAATAAATTTTAAAATTTTTAGAATTTTAATTTTTCATAAAGTGTAATATGAATTATAAGGTGAATATTTTCTCATAGTATTACGTTAGATAGTAGAGAGTTATGAACCAAGCATGGTATCACAGTAGGTTAATGTCACTGAATAATTATATTCACTGAAAAATCAAGTATTTCAAGTACTTGAAATCAAGTATTTGATTGACATAATTGTCAAATTGTTGACATATTATTAAACGAAATAACACTTTTTTTTAATTAGTAATTGCTTTAATTAATTTTAATATTATGATTTTAAATTGAAAAATTGAAAAAAACGTGGCAGTATTTTTACCTTTTATTATGTCTTGTGTGTTTGGAAACAATTAATATATACATATGTAAGATTAAGGAATGTAAAATTTGACAAATTAAAATTTTGTGTTTGAATTTCGAAAATGATTTATAAAAAAATTTATTTAATTACATAATGTAAATATATTAGGAAAACTATTTAGTTTAACTTTCACATATGTATGTGTATATGTTATGTATATAATTTATCTTATGTGCATAAAAATTAAATATGTAAAAAAAAACTTTTTTTTATCTATTTTTTTTTTTGTTATTAATTTTAAATATATATAGAATAATCACAGTTTTTGAGTTTGTAAAAAAATAAATATGTACTTTTGTTTAATGAAAAGAGAAAAAAAAATTGCTATCTATTTTGTTTAAAAAAAAAATAAAATTTTACAGAAAAATTATTTTATAGTTCCACTTCTTTTTCATATACATACTATTTTGATATAACAATAAAATTAAGAAAACTAGTTTTTAATTTAACAAAAAAATTTTTGTTTCTTTTCATATTTTTAACAATAAAATAGTAAGTAAGTAGTTTGTAATAATTTGTAATTTTCTGTTTTATTTCATTTAAGTAATTAATTAGTAGTTCTCTGTAGGTAGTTTGTGTTTTTAATAATATTAATAAAAAATATATAAAATAATTTTCAATAAATAAATAAATTCTATTTTTTTTAATATTTTGATTTAAATTATTTAAGAAAAAAGTTTTTTTTTTTTTTGATTACATTATTGTACAAAATTTCATACATTATTTTTGTTTTGCAAAATTCTTAAACTATTTGTATTTTTTGTATACTTATATATTATATGTATATATGTATATGTATACATAGAATGTTTAAGTATATATTATGATGGTCTCTAAATTAAAATAAATTTCTTTATGTATTTTGTATAAATTTGTTTTATGGCATCTTTTTTTTATAGAAATTTTATAAAAATTCAATTTTGATATTTTACCGGAAAATCTAAGTTTCAAATAAAATGCAAAACTAGCAGTGATATATGATCAAAATTGCTCATTTTATGCTTAGCTCAAATTAGTTTTATTTATGGTTTACATAATATATTTTGTAATAGCTTGAAATATCAAAAATAAATAATGTAATATAAATTATAATATCATAGGTTATAAATTCAGAACTATGAATCAAAGTGCAATTTATTAGTTGCTTTGTTTTCCAAAGTAAAACTTTTTCTTTGTTAGCATAGTTTGTAATTACTTTAATCCCGCTATATATTTTTTTTTAATAAAATTTAAACAAATTAATTATAATTTTAATTATACAAATATATTATTAAAATTTATTACACTAAATACATTAAATAATTAATATTTTTGAATTTTAAATTTAAAAATAAATTGAACATTTTTAAAAAATTTAAAAATTAGCTGAAAATATTTGTTAGTTTTAAATATTTTAAAATTTATTTGAAAAATAATTTTCTAGTTTAATTATTGACATGAAAAATTTCATTGGAATGATAGATAAATTTATTATTCAAAAAAGCTCAAATACTAAAAATTTAGAGTTGAACTTGAGTTTCTCAAAATACAATTTAAAATTATAAAAGAAGTAAGGGGCTAAAGAGTAACGATCAGAAAAATTAAAAAAGAAATTTACTATTATTAGATTAAATTGAAAATTTAATGGTAGTATTCATTTTTAATTTTAATTTAATTTAAAATTTTTTTTGTAATTTACAATAATTACAGGAACACATTGTCGGTATCATTTTATAAGGAAATTTTCAAAAGTGCAAATTTACGCGATATATGCGCCTTTATTGCATAATAAACGTGTATGTTGCATATAAAAGTTGAATACTATAATAATAATAATAGTTGCAATGAATTTAAAACATTTAAAATTTATTATTATGAATTTTAATATTATTAGTTAAATAAAAATTTTAAAAAATTTTATTTAATAACTCTTACTTATTTAAAGAAAAAAAAAACAAAATAATAAATTGTTAAAAAATTTATGGAAACATAAACAAATATTAATTTATTAAGAATTAGTTTGTTGATTAAAATTATTTGTTTAAATTATATTCTAACAAACAAATCTTATATTTATATATAATTTATACTACATACATTTTAATGATATTATTAAATGTACAAAATATTTAACATTGTATTTTTAATAAAATAACATAATATTAATATTATTTTTATTAGTAACGCAATTAAAATATTACATGTGTTTTTACATTCAAGATAGTTTTTACATTTGTTATTTTAAAGTATCTATACACATATATTTTTTTGTCCTTACAATCATATTGTTTTATTTTCCTACTAGTTTACATTATTAAAAATTTAATGTAAGAATTAATTATGTTAATATTCTAACAGATATTATTTTTTTAAATATTATATTTTTATAATAGAGTTTTTCAAAAGAAAAATTATATAATACAATATTGTAGTTATATAATATTACAATAATTCATAATTTCAATATATATATAGATGCCATTTCCATATTTATACATAAAAAGTGTTTTTGAATATTAAAAATAAAAAGTGTTTTTGAATATTTAAAACTAAATTGCCAGTTTTTAGTTCGAATTAAGGTATCTGAGGCGGTGTAGCCATTTAAGTAAAACTTTTAGTCGATACACTGCTTCTTCAATAGAATTCCAATGTATATAGTACTAAATTAGAATTAAATTTTCAAAAACACCGAAAAATAGAAATAAAAAAATATTTTTATATAATTTTATTATTAAAAATTATTTTCGCTCATTTGCAATTAATTGAAATATTTTTATATTTTTTTAAATGTTATAAACACAAAATTTATTGAAATTTATATTAAATGGTTTTCAATTTTGAAAAATGGTTCCTAATTTAACTTTTTTTTTTAATTTATAATTATATACTGATTAAAATACAATAATCTGTTGCCATAAATATATTTTTAAAATTAAATTTTATTATAAATTATTAATTTTTTTAAAATCATCCTGAAATTCAAATTCGATTTTTAGAGAATATTAATCTCATTCATCGTTTATAATTTACGTTATTTAAATGTCCCTATAAAATAATTATTTTTGATTAAAATTTTTGATTTTTGAAAAATTTCATTTTCATTGTACATATAGAAATTTATTTTTATATACATATATTGTATGGAATTTATATTTTTTTAATTATTATTTTGTTTACATATTTATAATTTTAAAAATTATTTAACTCCATATTTTTTGTTTTTTTGAAATTTTTGAGTTTTGTAATTTTTAATAGTTAATATTTTTATTTTAAGACCTAATTGTGTAGGTGCATATTATTTATATTGGTAATTATATATGTTTGCTTTGTTTCTTTTTTTGTAATATATAAGTATTTATTAATTAAAATTTGAAACGAATGTTATATTAATAATTAAAAATACATAATTATATTATTTACTATATAACTTTAAAATAGTTTTCAAATTGGTATATTTTACCACCACCATATTTTCTTTTGAGTGTTTTATATGAATTATTTTCATATTTTATTTTTTTTTTAATATTTAAAATTAATTAATTAATTTAATAAAATCTCATATTAATATTATATTTATAATATATATATATGTATATATATAGTTTGTAACATTTCTTAAAATAAGTTTGTGCATTTTGTTCACATTTTGCATTCAAATTTTCATATTTTAACTTATTTACTATATATTTTTAGAAATAAAAATTAAAAAAAAAATATATGTATATCAAAAGAAAAGACAAAACAAAAAAAATTAAATAAAATAAATTTAATATTTGTGACCAAAATTTCTTATGTTTTTTTTTAAAATAATAAAAAGATTAAAAATAAAAATAAGAAAATCTCTTTAGTATTTTTATATCTTTGTGTATCATCTTTCTTTCTTGTTTTTTTTTTTCAACTTTTTTTTTATTCAATTTACAGATGATCCTTTATCACTTTTCTTACAAAATTTTGTTTATTTATTGATCACATTATCTGCGGAGGAGTCTTCTCCTCCGCGCCTCATCTCAGCGGGGTGCATTATGAATATGTGTTGTCAGATGTTTTGATAAGTAATCAGCTCGTGCAAAGCATTTGCCACATGATTCACAATGGTATGGTCTTTCACCTGTATGAATACGTAAATGACGTGTTAGATCAGATTTACCACCAAATGCTCGACCACAAAATAAACATACAAATGGTCGCTCCCCTGTATGTTTACGAACATGTAATTTAAGATTTTCTTTTGATCGAACACATTTTCCACAAAAGGGACAAGAGAAACGTGATGATGGTGTTCTAAAATTAAAAAAAATGGAATATTTTATTTAAAGTGTAAAATAATTGCTAATAAAGTGTAATCGTTATGTGATGGCAATAAGTTTTGCATGTCGAGTTTGTTGTGGAAACACATTTTTACACAGAAGTGAAGCGTAAACAAAATATTTGTGGAGATATGTCAATCTGTGTTTGTATACGTGCGTATCTCAAGTTCGGCTAACGCGAATTAGATGAAAATTTATAAATGAGTTTACTTTGTTTGGCGAATTGATCGATTTTTTGGATATGTCGGGACTCGGAAACTGCATCTTTTTACGGGCCGATTTTCTTTGAAATTTAATATTTGAAATCAGGGTTTCAAAATAATGAACTTTTTTTGGAAATATCAAAGTTCGGGAATTAATTTCCACTAGGGGTCGATTTCATACTTTTTATTATATCAAACGAACTAATTAACAGAATTTCTTGATACTTCATATTTGAGCTCTGTTTGCTGCCTGAACTAACTCACGAACTTTTCAGAGAATACGAATGGGAGAATGGGAAAAACCTAATGGCATCAGATTTTATATAATATAATATATCATTGTAATTATGTTGCTCGTTACCTTTTATCTCTTTGACGTTCAGCGGCATCAACTCTAAGAAAATTTAATATTGATGCTTCTTGTGGATTTAAACCCAATAATTGTTCACTTGGAATCCTTTCAGCATTAATAAGAGTATTAAGTGATGTTGTCGGCATTTGATGCATTTGTTGTGATGATTCTGGTTCAATTTGTGGTGAAATTAATCGAGGTTGTAAGAAAAACATGCCCTATAACAAAATATTATATAAATAAAAAAAAATATCAAATATAAGCATAATAATAAGCTTAAAAATTTCGAATGCTTTGTAAGAATATAAGAATATACTTAAGGATATAATTATAGGGGTCAACTTTCAAAGTTAAATACATATGGAGAAGTAAAAATAATAGGTAAAAACTAGATTTAAAATCAATCTTAATCTTCATAACAAAAATTATAAACTTACTCTCTTATTTGTACTATATAGACTTTCCGAACTGGTTATTTTTGTTTCAGCACAAATGGGGGGAGTTTCTGGTGTAGACAAATTTGTTGTTGTAGTTGGTGTTGCAGATGAAGATGAATTTGTATCACCTAAACCAATGCCCACTGAATCAACAGTATTATCTTGCTCCTCTTCATTCTCCTTTTCGCGTTTAAAACTCATTCGAAGATCAGCCACTTCATTGTGAAGCATTTCATTTGAGCTAGTTACAATTTCTTGATTATTATTTCCATTATTAATATTATTGCTGTTGTTGTTATTATTATTGTTATTGTTGTTGTTTGGATGTTGATTGTCCAACATATTTCTACGTTCTTTTTTACCATGTAATCTTTCTAGTGCATGATTAAGACGATGCTTTTTAAATGATTTTAAGTAACGAAATTGCATTCCACATACATCGCATGTAAATAATTTATCCGCTGGTAAGCGGGCACGATGGTTTTGTTCTTTATGTTTTGCGTAAGCTGATCTATAACGATATGATTGACCGCATTGCTCGCATATAAATGGTTTATCTTCAGGACCCGCACAAGGATGTTGTAAAGCGGCATGCTGTTCTAATAACCAAACGTTCGGAAATTGTGCATTACACACAACACAATGTGTTTCTTCTTCAATTGGCTCGGAAAAAAGTAAAGAATCAACAGTTGACATAATTGATGACGATGTTGATTTTGATAATGGAGGTGGTGTCGATGAGGTAGATGATGAGGAACTTTTTTCCTTGGTACTGGACGTTTCTGTACTTGTTGTATAACGTAAACAACTTGAAGTATCACCTAATGATGAACATGAACCACCACCAGCACCTCTACGTAGGTAATCATTTAATGAGTCCTTTGATGCTGATGATGATGTATTACCATTTAAAGCTAATTCAGCCATTTCAGCTTCTTCTTCTCGTTGGACGGTTTCCTCTGAACGTTTCTTTAATTCTTCAAGTATTGAATCTTTTTGGTAATAGGGTGGTGATGACTCCGCCTTTCGATTGTGATGTTGCGGTTGCTTTTGCTGTTGCTGTTGTTGATGCTGTGGTTGTTGTGGTTGTTGCTTCTGGTGTTCTCGTTGTTGTTCATGTTGTTGCCTTGCTAAAAGATTATGACTGTGATGATAATGTGAAGTTGTTTGACTAATATTTGTTGGTGTCAATGAGAAACGATTTGCAATGTTGTTGTTATTATTATAGTTTGGATTATTAATGTTACTGTTATTGTTGTTATTAAAGAGACTTTGAGATTTGTACATTGCTGCATGCTTATTCAGAAAATCATGGTCTTTGGACGATGCTAATATATCAGTTATTGAGTTAAAACGAATTGGCTCTTTTGGCGATGAAAATAAAAGACCCCGATATCTAACAAAGAAACGTAATTATATGTATTTATTTTTGAAAAAAATTTTTGTTTCATTACTGAAATTTTTAATTATTTTTATTTTTAGTTTATTTTTGAATAACAAAATTAATAAAATATTTAACTAAAAGCAAAGCTTAGTTGAAAATCAAAGTTACCTTAAAGTTTCTTCAGCTAATAGTGCTTGGTGATGTAATATTGCCAATATTCTGGACGGATCTGTATCAAATAAGCCTAGTCCGAGAGGAGAAGTAAATGGAAGTGGAAAAGAGCTTTGACAGCGTCCAGTTGCTGGATGCGCTGACAAAGAACGTGGAAAATTTGGAATAACATGTTCATCAATCTGAAATTTATAAAAAATATATGTAAAAAATGTAAGATAATAAACAATTAAAAGAAACTAATAAGTGACGTTGGGAGACTTCTTGGCAAGAAAATTAGTTTGTTATTAAATTAATTAATTAGAATATAGATTTTTTTATTTTCTTTTTAATTTTTTTTATAAGTTTTTATTTTTGTTAATTTTATCAAAAATATGTTTGTAAAAATATTTGTGTAGGGTAGCTTTTAACAGTTTTGTCGCTTATTAATTCTATGGCAATTTTTCAAAATATTAAGAACTGTAAGTTTTCTATACGACAATATAAATATGTTAATTTTTTTTCATTTTGCTTTTAAAATGGGAAGTCTCAAGCTACCATTCCCAGGTTTCACGATGAATATATTATTCGTATATTTATCCGTATATACATATGTAATGAGGATGTCGTCAATTGCCATTATTATTAAACACTGGCTAAAAATCGGTTTGTGCTTGACTATGAGGCACCAAAATTCTTATTTTATTTCAAAATTTTCAAATTTATTGGTGAAGTAAAGAATGACTATTGCACAAATTTTTAGATCATTAAAAACCTACCTATTCAGTAAGGTAAAATTTTTTAAGTAATTCAAGTTTTTACAATAAATTAATTAAAGCAATTGTTTCAGTTTACGAAAGCACATAACATGTCCGTTAAAAAAAAAGCAGCATTCGTAATAACTTATAATTTACCGTTAATAAATTGTGATAATTTCAAAAGTGCATTAATAATTACACTATTAATACACAATTCAGCAATTACAACCAGTAGGTTGAATTGCGAATTAATATTATATTGTTACAACTTTGAAGTCCGGGTTACAAATTTAAAACTTAGTTAAACCATATTAACACTAATTTAGACGACTTGGTAATGACATTTCCAATTATTGGACAATGGTCAAACAATACTTTAGCACTTTAACTAATAACTTTTACAATATATGAAATTGTTTTTTTGTTGGCTATAAGATGTGCTTGCAACCCAATCCTGTTTTAATAAACTTGTGACAATAAAACAAATAAATTTTTTTTTTGAAATTTTTTACAGCATTTTTTGTTTTTTTTTTTTTGTTTTATTTCATCAAAATTGCTTTACAACTATGATATGCATTTATTTGTTTATTAATGTTTATTCTTTTATTATTTTTTTTTACTGTTTCTAAAATTCTTCTTTTGTAAAGTTTTATTTTCGAACAAATCCAACTTCTATTGACTTTTTTCTATAAATTTCTGTGGTTGCAATTGCTAACTATATAATATACACATAATGTATGTAGTTATGCACTTATGCAGGTTATTATTTATATTGGTGAATAATTAAATTTAATATTAAATTCAACTTATTGGGTTTTTTGTGTTTTGTTTTGCAAAAAGGAGTGATTTTGAAATTTTATTTAACATTAATGAGTTCTGTACAAAATTCGTTTTTTTTTTTTTTGGAAGGAACGGTTTGATTAATTAAAATAATATGTAAAATTTGTTTAAAAAACAAAATAAAAATAAGAAAAATCATAAACTAAAATTTAATACACATAAAATTAAAATATAAGTGGAAATATTCTATGGACAGGATTTGCCCGACAGAATCGATTTATGGGCAAAAATTTATCACGCAAAGTTTAAAAATGTTGATGCTTTTAATTTATAAAGGAATAGAAATTTCTATACTGCTCCAAAGTAGTCTAAAGGTGTTTATAAGTGAAATGTTAGTTTAGAATGAAAATTTTGTTATAAGGATAAAATTAACATGTAAATTTAAATATTGCAGATTTGATTTATTTTTCATATAAAAATATTATACCATCAACAAGATTAAATATGCGTAACAAAATAAACTCCTTTGAGCTATTGCTTTGTATATAGGCTGGTGTATTTGAAAATATTAAATTTCACCAAGAATTTATTGTAGATAAAGTTATAAAAATATTTTATGTAAGATATTAATCTTGGTTTAGTTAAAAGAAAATTGTCACAACAGTATGGAAAACATACTGTTGTGACAATTTTCTTTTAAATGAATAATAATATTATTAAAAGACATAATTTGACAAAATGATGAAGTACGATTGTAAAAAATAAATGGCGGTATTGTTGTGACATCATTGCGTGTTTTTATACGACGACTTTTGCATCAATGCTGATTGTTATATGTTGCATTTTTATATTAGTAACATAAGACAATCATTGATACAAGAGTTGTCGTGTAAACTCAACAACTATTAAGTTATGAATTTTTAAGCCAAAAAAAAAACGAAAATGAAACAAATAAAAAGTATGTATGCAATAATTTTCTAGAATATTCTTTATTAATATTAAAAAAAAAAATTATAAATAAAAAAATAAAATTACGTTTGTATTGTAAATGATACTTAAATCGAAAAATAGGATTTTTTGCTGTTTTATTTTTTTATATTCTTAATTTAATATTCTAAATTAAATTTTATAATTTATTTTAAAAAAAAAAAATTAATTTAAAATAAAATTCTGTATTGAAAATAAAATTAATTTATAAATGTTTGTATTGATGTATGCATTTTATAAATAAAGGAGCCTCATAGGAAACTTTTAATTTCAAAAATTCGCGCAGGTATAATTTTTTTTTGTTTTTCATAAATTTTTCATTTTCAATATAATTAAATATACTTATCAAATAATTAATTAATTAAAACTTTATAAAGTTAATAATATATATTTTATTTATTAATTTAATTTTAAATAAATTAAAATACATAAAAAATAAATAATAATAATAAAAAAAAATATAAAATAAACTATTCCAAAAAAAATAATAATAAAATAATAAATCAAAGATTTTAAAAAAAAGGAACAATAATTTACGTTACCAACTAAAAGGAATCATTTTTTTCAATTTGTATTTCTTTTTTAAATTATAATAGTAATATTCTTAAAAATTTATTTACTTATTTATATATTTTTTATTTAATGATAATAAAATAATAATACTATGTATATTAAATATTTATTTTATATATTATATATATATCCTTTGTAAATATTAATAAATCTAAAAAATTATTTAATATTCATTTAATGAAATATAATGAAATTATTATATTCTATTCGAATGTTATGTTAGTATAATAATTAATATTAATTGTAATATAAATATTTATTATATAATAGTATTTAAAAATTATAATTAAGTCGGACTCGTGTAAAAAACATCTTGTTCAAACAAAATTATTGATTGGAAATTTCATTTGTATATTTAATTTTAAATTTATGTAGATTATGTATGTAATATGAGTAGAAATTTAGCTCGTTAATAAAATTTATGCTCCGGTTTTAAGAACAATTGAAAATAAACGGATCCGACTGTAAATATGTATGTATAAATTATATATTATTAAAATATTATGAATATGAAATCATTAAGAATTAATTTAAATAAAATTTATATATAAATTAAACTAAAATTAAACTATAATTAAACTTAATAAAATTTAACTTTAAAAATAAATTCAAAAAACACTGTGTATTACATTATAATACCAATCATTATAACAAAATATAAAAATATTTTATTATATAAAACTTTGAAACTCATTAATATTTTCAAATGGAATATGAATGAAATGTGTTGTATATTAATTTGTATATTTGTTATATTATATAAATTAATTATATATGGGGCCAATTTGAATATGTACTTTTGTGAAAAAAAAACACTTTTATATATGAATGAATTAATATTATAATTAATAATAAATATTAAGCAATTTAAATATAATCAATTGAAAATCTTATGTTGAAATGTAGAATTTCATTTTCTTTCTCATCGATAACTCATTCGAAATTTGTTAAAACTTTATTAAACAAGGTATATATATGTACTATTTGTATATATGTGTATGTTTGTGTTATTTTATTTTTTTTCTAATATTTACAAATACCATATTAAATTTTCTGTCTATTTGTTTTATGGGTAATACTTTATAACTGAAAAGTTTGCAGTTTGAAGTTTATAAATAGAACACATTTCTGTATAGAAATTCGATTACATGATCTTGTTTCATGAGAATGTAAGATTAAGTTATAGAAATTTGGTTATCAAGGATTTGATATTCACTTCCATATAAAAATAACGTTTTGAATTAAATCGAAATAAAATTGAATAGCTGGAATGCTCTTAACAATTTTTCTATAATATTTTTATTTTTGTAATGGGAATGGTGCGAATATTTTACGTTATCAAAGGAAAATTTCTTTATAAAACAATCTCAGCACAGAATTTGCTCAATGCTTACGAGAAATATATATTTCAGAAAAATAAATTTCATTTATAAATTAGCCCATAAAATCATAAAATATCCAAAAGATAAAAGCGTTTCTTAATTCTTCTATTTCAATACCAATTTATATTTGTTTCTTTATTCGAATAAAATTTTCAAAAGTAATATGAGTGTTTGTTTTTATTTAATATCGCGGTATGTGCTTCAATTCATGCATATAGTTGAATTTGTTTGAATTTAACTTTTTATCATTTTTTTGATAATACTATACATAATATTATATGTATATATATTTATGTATATATATATTTTAAAATTATTCGAAATTCAATGGATTTCTAAAGTGTTAAATATATTGTTATATGGGATGTTGACAATTTTTTGTTTGTTGCTGTATAATATTATTATTATATAATATTTTTTTTTCATTTCGCATTAATGATTTCATTTTGTAAATTTAACAGTATAATTTTTCTTCTTAATGTGTATGTCATCTTCATTAATTGTTTTTTGTTCATTTTTTTTTTATTTTAATTTTTAAATTTTCTTAAAAGTAATATTTTTAATGTTTTTTTTTTCTTATGATTTTGTCATTTTTATTTAAAATTTTTTAAGGGGATTAGGCACTACAGTGTATGTGTAATTTTTAAAGTATATATGTATAATATAATATATTGATATATAAAATTTAGAACGCGGTCTACCTAATATTTTTGTTTTTGTTTT